CTGTGTGTATCTCATTCTTCTTAGCCTCTCTAACTGGTTTGTTTTTAACCAAAAAAGATAAAGGAATTGCAATGACACGGGAAATGTGTTGATCTTTGTGTTATGAGAGGATTCTCATTCAATGTGCTTTCAGTAGTTTTGCTTTCAATGGTCAGATGTCACCAGCTGTGTTATCTCAGGCTCCCATACTGACCTTCCACCTGCAACCTAAGTGCTGGCAGTTAGTAATCACCCTCCTTAGTATTTATTCTCCAATCTAAGTCATTATCTTGGACCCATTTAAATCCATCTGTTTGCTATTTTGCGAGCCTGCAGCCCCTTCTCTTATACAAACTAATAATGACTAGAAACTTAAAAGCTTCTGTTATTCAGTTTAATGTTGAAGGCGATGCTCTCACGGGCTAACCAAGTTGTTTGAGACCAGTCATTAACCAGATTGAGTTGTGCTCTGAAAAAAACCTTGAAATGAGCAGAAATAGGAACATTTCAAAGCCTCTGCTGTACATTCAAATTTTTAACCACAAGCTTAACTTTTATCTTTGGTCAGCCCTTCTGTTCCTGAAATATTCTTAAAAATTTGCTTTAGATAGTTGCCTTGATGCCAACATACTTTTTAAAACAGTTTTTTTATGGAAAATGCTCAGTCTCAAGTACTTCCAGCAGTTTCCAAGGTAGAAAAAAACGCTTTTGGGAACTGTTTGGTCTCTGCTGTTTAAAAAAAGCACATCACACAGTCCCGTAATGGCCACCAATTCTTTACTACGATGGATTTCCCACAGTGCAACAGCTCAGCCTATCCTCAGCAACTTTTTAGTGTGCTCTCACAGAAATCCCCCCCTGGGTTTAAAAACAAAGTGATTCAGGGTCTGAAAAATTGAGCAGAAAGAACATTAAAAAAATACACATAATAAAAGAAGGTTTTGCTATTTAAGTGATGGACAGAACAGGAGAGCTAAGAGGATTGGGGAAAAAAAACCCTTAAATGAGTTTCATCATCAAAGACAAAAAGCTTTGGAAATAACACACATTAGGTAAATTTTTTATATGTAAGAATAGTATAAAACAAAGAAATAAAAGCAGTAACTAAGTAGATGAAAGGTATAAGCACCAAAAAAGACAAAGAACTGAAAAATAATCAGTTTGGATATATTCATTAAAATGTATTTAAACGATTACAGTAGGAATCAAACTAGTTTCCTTTCTGAACAATAGACTGTCTCATCCAATAAATAAAATAGAAGAGGTAGCTTTTGATTTTTAAAAAATCTCTTTCTTTATTTGTCTTAACAGATATATTAAGTTTTTGTTTAGATATGTAAGAATGTCCGTTTAATAAATAATACAAATATTGATCTCTGGAATAATCATTTTAACAAAACTGTTTAAAACAAATAGATATGGATATTCTCTCCAAGGGAACACGGACATCAGCTGCTGTGGATCGATGGACAAAGAATAATGAGGACCTTGAGAGGGTGAAGAAGTTACCAATTAGAAGTTGTCAAAAAAAAAAAAAAAAACTTAAACGAGAATATAATTGATAAATGATGGCTGAAATTAAATGACAACATAGTAAAGTAATGTGTTTAGGTGTAGCATGGGTCCCATCAAATAACAAATCATAAAATACAAATTAAATCAAACTCCAAGAAAACGAATTCAAGTTATTGTATAACAACCATATGTCCATATTTTAGACAGCCTGGCTATTATTGGTTACCATACATGATTGGTGAGGGTGAGTTAATGGTAATTACAGCACTATTGTCTCCTTCAATCAACCTAATATCACTTTGGAAACTTAATTGATTTGCCTTGGTTGTACAGAATAAGAATGAGTTGTTTCCGATTGCTTTTTCTGACGATATAATTTGATTATAAAAGGGCAACCAACAGGAACAGTGAAGGTCAGTCTGAGGTCTGGAAAACCTTCTAACGGATCTGATTATAATTGTAAAGCAGGTAAATACTAATACAGGTTTAACTCTGAAAGACCTTCACCTATTTTTCAAATATTGTTTAAGCAGAACAGTTCACCGTTCTGCCCTTCAGACAAAAACACATAAAACCCATGGGGCAGCCATTAAAAGAAAAACCTACCTTTATCCTCACACCAAAACTTTACAAATTAGGATTTAAAATAGCCAAATTCAGAATCCATAGTTTGACTGAGGGGTAGTATGGAGAACAAATTAGCACAAAAACACAACAAGTGTCATTTCTGATGGAAAGATGGACATGTCTAACCGTAACCAGATTGCAGTTGGAAAACTGGATTATGCTAATCTTTGGAAAATATGAAGGAACGGATCCTAATGTTTTAAACCAAACATTACACATGAAAGGAGTTGATCCTGCACTTCATAATCCAGAATGAGCCACTTCAAGGGTGGAAGCTGAAGGTTTTGCATGTAGGCTTCACAGCAGCCCAACCTAAAAACTGTTGAAAATCTGTGGATGGACTTCAAAAGAGCAGCACACACAGAGCAGCCAAAGAGGCTAAAAGAGAAGCTTTTTGAAAGAGGCTTTGGTGAAAACCTTCCAAGCCAGCAATGGAAAGAAATTCAACTTCCACAGAACGCTTGGACATGTTGTGAAATGTACCAGAATAGCATACTTTTATTTGGCAACGATATCTAAAACTAAAAGATAAAAAGGAGAAAATCTTGCTTGAGAATCAAAATAAATGAAATCTGAGTCCACAGTCTTAATAAGCAAGGTAATCGGTCTTTTTTTCTTCTTCCATAAAACTTTTGTGAGAGACCTGTCAAGGGGATCTTTCATGTTGTGATTGCTGCTGACATTAACTGTCATGATTAGGCTTTTTAACTGTTTAGAAAGAAGAACGTATGCATGATGCAATAAATGAAGCAAATGCATGTGAAATGGAATGACATGTAGACAAAAGTTTCTTGAATAAAAAATCTAAGCAGTGCAAAATGTGTTACTTGTCATGCTCCATTACTATAATACCTCTAGTTAAAATACAGCGTCCCTCAACAACTGCCTCTGAATGTCACCTAATTAATTCAGACTCTACCCTTTTGTGTTCATTCTCTACAGATATGAATACTACACTCTCACCTTGTAGGGAGGATAACAAGAAAATAAGAACTGTTTAAAGCTTCAAAATTGGCATTAATGGTTTGCTTTCCCTACTGAGGACACAACAGCCATCATCTGTTCCCCTGTGCAACGCCCAGCGTTTGTTGTGTGTACCTCCTAAAGAGTAACGTCCCCGAGTGGTAGCTCACACACTTCCTTCTGACAAACTGTGAATCTTAATTGTCAAACATACAGGCAGGTGTGGATGCTTCTGTTTTTTTTTTTTAATGCTCTCGCAGTCTGACTGCAATTACACACAGAATGGGACCCCTGATGTAAAGGATACCAAACGTGTTGAGAACAATGCTTTCTTCAGAGAAGGGACAGATGAAATTGCTTAGCCTTCACACAAAATGCAATGCATGGAAGAAAATTCACAGCTGCTAATCACCCTGAATACTCTATCAAGACCCTGAAACATGGCAGTAACAGTTTCTCAATGATGGGAAGTTATTTTTTAGCATCAGGGAAAAGCAAGAAACGCTATTAGATCACACCAGCAGGATTAGAGCCCAAAATATAACGAGAGCAGCAATGCATTGGTCTAAATGTGAGATTCTCAGCCCCGGTTCTCTGGTCCCATCATCTACGCTTTAACTGTTTACCAACTGCCGCACACCTGGCCTAAATTAATTGGTGATTGGCTTATGGAGGCATAGTACGCTGAGGTGGTAATACTTCATGTGAGTCACGTATGCTGGAAAGGAAACAATTTTAAAACCTGAAGGACAATGGGCCCTGAGGAGCAGGGGTGAGAACCACTGTTCTTAATCAAACGTAAATTTATTGATAAGAAAGGGCCAGTCAAGGTCCAGCACTTAATCAAACTGAGAATCTAATACAAGACCTTAAACCAGTGTATAGATTCCCTATCCAAACTTATGTTGCGCTATTTTCTAAAAACTAACAGTCTCTCGAAATGTTTAGCTTGATAAATTTTTCTATAAATACAGAAAAAACCCCACAGCTGATGTGTGTTCAGATGCTCACAGCTGAACACGCTAACAGATATTTATTTGTAATATAAAATTTCCAATATTTGTGCTTTCACTATGACTAATAAAGAGAAAAGGGATCAGTTATTCACCTATGACAAAATGCTTTCACTGCCTTACAGAGGTTAAAAAATGTAAAAGTTGTGCAAATATTTTCAATGCCAATGAAAAAAAACACTGCTTATGTCATCTTTTATAGAATTTTCAGTTCACATAATGTTAAAATAATGTTGCCTGTGGTATTATATCACTTTATATTATATATCAGTTTTGATTATCTAATCATTTCACCCTTTACCTGCATAGCATTCAGTTGTATATCCATTATTCACCTCATATAATCTCAATGGAGATTAAATTTCATATTCTATTCTGTCTGTAACGTTTGTCTTTGCTTTCCTATAAAATGTTCTGCTTTAACATAAAAATCATGATTTTTGTTTCAAAACTAAGCAAAGCAAGGCATAAAAAATAAACACAACACTTTCTTATCCAGTTTGGTTTTTTTCCACCTCCCTTTCTTATTTACAAGAAATAAGGTGGAGAATAAATCAACCGAGATACGCTGAAATTTATTCTCAAGAAAGGAAACTATTTACTTCCGACTGACTGTGACCAAACGACAGGAGCATCCCCTGGCTCTCGTGACATTTAAGAAAAATATTCCCAAGCACTTTCACTAAGCCTTTTAGAAAGCTGACAAGCTCAGCTCTGCTACCAGAGTCTCCAAAAACCTCTGTGCTATGGAGACCTGTGATTTTACATGTCACGGTCAATCTGAGAAATGAGCATCTGTTTGACCTGTGAAGGACAGGGAGCAGACATTCACAGCAATATTAATTCTCATGTGCTGGAAAGGAAAATAATCAGATGTAACTTAGAGTAATCAAGGTGTCTTACCTCATCTTGGTAGATGAAGAAAAGCATGATGGACAGAATTTCCAAGAAGAAAATCAGTAGAAGTAGGATGAAGAACTGTAAAGAATGAGAGAAAGAAACAAGTTTAAGAAACAATTATTTTAGCAATACCAGAGAAGGATCTGAAATGGATCATCACTGCTTACTTATAAAAAAAAAAACTAAAAGGAAGACTTTGCCAAAGCATAAAAGTTAGGATTATAAGGAGTGAGTAAAACAGTCTGATGGGGTGATTTACAGTTGTCCTCTAGCCATTTTTGAATTCCTACAAGTAGCCACGTTTTTATTCTCCATCAGTCCCAGCCTCACTTTAGTGGCAAGGTTGAGCCGTTTGATAGGTCATACATCTTCTTCCTGCAGGCTCATTTGAGTGTTTAAAACAGTTACGAGCTCATCCATCAGCTCCTGTGCCACAGCATGACTCTGATTCTCACGCATACAAGCAGACTCACCAAGCAGGGAGGAGGAAAATATTTCCAGTCACTACTCTGCAGTTATTTTCTAAAGGTCATTACATACACTCAATGAAAACATCATAGCACCATCTTAATCGTAATCTTAAAACAAAAACAGATAAAAAAAAGAAAACTACAAATCAACCTTGAGCTGCTCTTCCTGGAAGAGGCCTGATTGCAGGTTGCTTTTGTTTTGAAGATGGTCACCTTTAGTGCTTTTGAAGCACAGATATTGTTTTTAGAAAATATTCTGTCTTCATAACTGCATAAAATTAACTGCATGCTGCTCCGTTGTCGCAGTAATTTTTTTATAGTAATTTTTTCTCCTGATTACCGAATAATTGAGATATAATTATGAGATCACTACCCTGGTAGCAAAAGTAGTAGCTGATTTATGATGTGTGACCAGTGTGCATTGTCTAGAACTGATTATCAGAGAATTTGAAGCAGGTTATGCCATGATGACCACATACAAGAACTGATACATTGGCATATTTACAACAGCTGGCAGTGCTCTAATTAATGGTCATATACTCATATAATCTGGTAGCAATGTGTGTGATATGATTCTTATTTCCTCCTGTCTCTGGCTGCAACAAACACTCCACCTTGCAAGCTTTATGATGTTTTTCTTATTGCGGCACTATGCAACTTTTAGCCACTGGGGGCACTAGACTAATTTCCAGGTTTAGCACCCCTGGAGGTCACTGGCAACACTGCACTGCTGCATAATTACGGTTTCTCTCTTATGCTGCGTTCACAGCTGGCGCGACAGAAGCAGCGAGTTTACATG